GGCAATAGCATCTAATTCCCCATCCCGTGTTGTGCGTGTTAAATGAACTTTTGCCACGACATACCATTTAATAGTGGATTTGTCGGCTAATTCTTCTTGTAATTTTGATGTAATGTAATTTGGGGGCGCATCTCTTCAAAACATAACAAAAAGTCGGACGCATTTTCCTCAGAGGGTGTAAACGTATGTACACTAAATACGTTTAAAGCACCTTCTTTCCTCATTTTTTTCACGGGACGATAGAGCGCATCGACCTTCCTTTTAGTAATGAGCCGTGCGCACATGTTGTAGCAATTCACTCTTTTGAGTGAACACTTGGTCGCAAATATTACAACAGTGTTCTTTAGAAGGCTTGATATGGGTCAAAGCATGACGTTTCAAGTCAGAATTTCTTGCAAATGCTTTCTGACAAACATCGCAAGTAAAACTTTTTTCTCCGGTATGAGTTTTCATATGTCTGGTTAAACTCTCCTTGCGGGTAAAGAATTTAGAACAGATGGTACAGACCTAGGAAAATTAAAGGGGAACCCTATAAGTATACATCTTTTCAAGGTGTATGTTACATATTATATAAATATGCGTCACGCAAAGTGTAATAAAAATTTCTCATCTACCCCAACTATTTCACATAACGCGCTTAAACATAACAGATATAACTAAACATAGTTTCCTCAAGATTTAAATCCTTTCGCATTTAACTCAAAGATACGGAAAAACATGAAGTGAATAATACCCTGAAAGCGAGCAGTTAAGTGAGAATCTTTACAAATACGGAAACGATCGCTGATAATGATCAGGTAGAAACTCTTCACAAAAGGGTCACGTGTGCAAAGCTGGTTAAAGTCACAAAGCAAGATTGCCAATTGTATCGTTACTTAAAAGATAACAAATAGAATTCTTCTACCCCAAAACAAGAATATATTTTCAATAGAAAGTGTGTATCTAAAATATTTAACTAACTACCGATATTTTTCTTTTCTAACATTTAATGTATACATGGATTTACGTTGCATTTCAAGTACTGAGAAACATAGTTATTTCAGAATTTAAGATTCATTCATGTCTTAAGCGTGTAACGGAGAAGGATTATTGTTAACATACTACATTTTCTGATACCGTACCGCTACCTTTCTTAAAACACAACAACTTTGCAAATTATATGCAATACATAAAACTGAAAATGTAATATCAAAAATCACAACTATACATATGTAATTAAATATCAATACCTCTTCAAGAAACATTTATCGCGTTAACTAGTTCACGTTATAAGTTTAAACTTCATGTACTAAAACTTCAAAACATACACTGATACTAAAATTCACACGTAAGACTTATGCAAATTATATGTAACTTAAAAATGAAAATGTATGAAATAACAAAAATACAATGTTATCAAGCATTATTGAATGTTAAACTGTAACTGTATATAAGTTTGTTTTTTCTAACAAACTGAAAAATCTGTTCCCTGAAACATAAGAGAAAGTAAAAATTCTTAAACTTTTTAAATCATAAAATATTAAAACATAAAAAACTGAAACTGAAAAAACTTAATCTGTAATAATCCATTTAAAACTTTTCCCTCACATAAAAAGGTCCTGAAAGAATGATCCACCCTAAAAAATTTTTGCAAAATAAAATATTTTATAAAAAAAAAAAAAAAAAAAAAAAAAAAAACTTACATGTTCCGGAACCATACTGATTATCAGATCTCCAGCAACATCATTTTCAAAAGTTGACATTTTCAATTTAGAAAATATTAATCAGGAAGACTTGCTCTTTCCGAGATTGTCGAGCGAACTGACTTCTTCCATTTCTGAAACACCTTTTATAGGGATTAAAGAATGTTCTCCAACATTCCAGATTTGTGTAATCTGAACCAGGATAACCCTTTCTTTCGAATACAACTTCAACTTCCATTAACCCTTATCATGATAACGTGAAGTCTACAACGCTTATCAAGGATCTTCCTTCACTTCTGTATGTATTGTCAAACTTGGAATAGCAACAACAACAACCTTAAGATAATACATTCTTTCGCATATGATTATCAGAGTTTTAGTTTAGAAATTTTCCATTACTCTATCATGATAAGTGGATGATGCTTTTAAGATTCCCCTTATGCATATATGTAATGTCAAACTTAAGAATAACAACTCTTTCAAATAAGTTTTCAGTGATTATCAGAGTTTTCCATTAACCTATCTTACCCTGATAACGTAATATACATATGACGCCGGACAGACTGTCCTTCCCAAACAAGACAAGACAAGAATGTATTACGATAAGTGTTGATGAATTATATTGGTGAAGATATATTTTTATGTATTAATTTTAAAAATATAAGAGATTCTTTAAGGCAGGAAAAAATTGTTCATTTATTTTGTGATAGGTTTTTTGAATCGAAATGTTATGAAGATTATAAAAATGCATTGATATAAGTACAGCTATTCTATTTAAATTTCTGTGTTTGGTTGATGTTATGACTATTTTTTTTTCCTTATGTTTTTAATAGAAATATATTGAAATTTTGTTTTAATTTTAAAGCAAACGTGTATATCAAATGTCAGTAAATGGATATTGCTGTTAATTTGACATTAACTAATGAAAGAAAATTCCAAGTATATTTTATGTATAATACAGAAATTTATTCTTTGAAAATAAATGTATTGAAAGGTAAAAGCTTCTTGGTGAAATGAATGTTTTTCATAACATTTTAAAAACGATGTAAAACAAATATTGATTGTAGAGAGAAGAAAGAGTCTATATGTAAAAATAATAATTTTATTCATTTAATAAGGTTCCCATTTTCGTGGAGAACGTATATGTTTTACAGATTTAACATGCAATATTTTTTTTTTTTTTTTCATATTAACATCATGATTCTGTAAATTTTCATTTTTGATATAGTCCATTGGCATGTTGATTTCAGTCAAGGCTTTTTTTAAAAATTCGTTTTTAGCAGGAATATTAATCTTTTTCTTTTTGGTTGTAAAAAGGATATTGAATAAGTCTATAATATTTGAATGCTTAATTTTTTCCTTATGATAAAGTACCTTCGCCTTTATCATTCCACTTAAGAATATCAGGGATGTCGCTTTAAAATAGCTAATGCATTTTGTGCTTTTCTTCTCATTCGTAAAGGTACACTGTCTAAGATAACAGTAGAATAATCAGTTACAGTCATCTGTTTGTCGCCGTCTGTCACAGATGAAGGGGGCTTCTTCCTCTTTCACTTTCTTCATCTCAGCTGAATCGTCTAAAGAATTTTGTGAGTCGTCTTTAGGAGGGTTTAAAGGGTGAATTGTATTCCTTTAAGTTCAATTTCTTTTGTAAAAGTTCATAATAACGCACTAATTTCTCACGATCGTCAACTGAACTGTTTTAAAATATGCATCATGGCTTTATCCAATTCACTTAACTGTTTATCAGAAATGGTATGCTTTGTCATCATCTCTTCTGGAACTAACACATATTTCTTAGTGAACTCCATTGATTAGTCCTGTAAGAACACTGAGAGCAGCAGGAATCAAAACGTTTAGAAAACCTCCTTTTTTGTAAAATTAATTTTCGTTTCTTCACAAGAGAAATCTTACGATTTCCTAATTTTCGTAAAGTTGTTTTATGCTTACAGAGAGACTTCTTTTGTTGCTCTGACAATGGAACGTTTCCTTTGAGTATGTTTAAACTACATTCTTCGCATATAGCTTTTATGCAATTGATATTAATTTTCTTTAATAGCTGTTTCCGTAACTTTTAACGGACAAATGTTTAACAGCTGTAACTGTCTTAGCTGTTTCTTGACCAGCGTCATTTTATAAAATGATGATGCATTTTATAAAGCTGTTGTTTTTATTATTTTTTAATAATGTTTCATTTGATAAACATACTGTACTTGGTTAGGTAAAATTTGGGTGCGTAAACGTAATTCTTCCGGAGTTTCACTGCGCAGATCAATGAATAATAAATAAGAAAAAGGTTTCTTGGTTGCATCTTCATATACTTCTTGAAAAAACTTTAAATGACGCGGAAAGAGCTGTTTTGTTTTCCTAAATGTACGATTTGACTGACATCTCTTCTGTTTTTACACAAAATCAAATAGTGTGCATTTAAAGTCACTTCACGCATTTCTTTTCCCTTGTGAAAAAAATAAAAATAACGCTTTTTAAATGATGACTTTTGTAAAAATAAGTCAGACGTTTATCAACACATCATCAAATCGTCTCATGAATAATAATGTGTTGGAACCTAAATATTCTTGATATTTAATTGGTAAACCTTCGACAAAAGTAACATTCGGTATATCATTATACAGAGGTTGGTAAATTCCATAACACCATATACTACTTTATCGGGAATCGTTGAAAACATTTCCTCTTTATACTTTAACAGTTCTCGTACAAAATAGGTTTTCCCACATCCAGTGGGTCCCGAAATCACCATTGTGAAAGGATGTTGTAGCTTTGGAAATTCCATATTAAATGAGACAAGACACATAATGTATAAAGTTTAAATGTATTTATTGATAGAAAGAAGATCTTACATGAAATTTCTTGATTACAAAATTATATACTTTAATATCATTAGATATATGTTGAGGTATGAAAGATAACAATATATCATTGAGAGATTGTCCACGACATTTACAATGTAAATAGTATATGCAATATTGACCACATACTGCGTTACATTAGTTTGGAGAGTCATCGAATTAAAGTCCATCTGTGGAAATCGTTCTGCATACTTGGCTATCGGTCCAGGAAAATAGGATGGGTCATGTCCATAGGAATCGAAAAAAATTCTAAATGCTGTGGGGATGAAATGTAAAAGGCTAACCAGTGACTACCGGATTCAGATGCACGATCTACATTAGCTATAAAGCAACTTGGATATTTCTTGATCTCGATAGGGAGTCGATCACTTGCAAAAACTCCCAGAAATGCTTTTCGTGTCTTTGCATTCTGAGAGAGTGCTCTGTTTATTTCAAGGCTGTCCATTGCTTAATTAGCAAAATCGCATAGTACATGACGAGATTTTGTTATTTCAATCACGTTTTGAAATTCTGCATAGACTAGCACCGAGAGAGTCACAGAGAGAGCTTTAGCAAATTTAATTTCTACTCGCAAATTGCCTTGATGCTGTAAGTTAAAATGAGATCCATCACACATATCTGGAGTTAAATCGAAAGCATATAACACATGTCCTTTCACAAATTCTTCTCGAGATAAATAGATGCCTTTGTCGCGATTAAATCCAGAAAATAAACTGTGGTAAGCACGCACATAATGATTAGATTCGAAATCAAGGTCCATTGGTTTACATGGAACGGGTTGTCCATCTACATAAATCGATATAAAGTTGACATGATGATGATGGCAAACAGCAAACAGAAAAGGATTCATTGAATATTGTCCATTCATTGCAGCATTTTCTACACAAGTAATAATGACTCGCTTGGGCATCAATCCTCCTAAAAATACATTATCTTGCATAAAAGACCAACTTCCCTTAGATACTGAATATGTTTTGCATAATACTCGATCTATAGGGTATTTAGCAGAACTTTTTTCCAACGCTTTTACATGTCCGAGAGAGACTCCAGGGTTTATTTACTTTTACTTTTCTGATAAACAAAGAGGCATGATCCAAGATCACTTTATAATCGGCATCTTTCTCAGTACAAACTAGACAGAAAGCAGATTTACTACGCACCATTTTAATTTTCACATCAACTAAATTTAACATGAGTCGATTTTGTTGAAAAATGTCACAATGTAATTGCCCTATCAAATCCACACTTTGACTGTTTTTTATAAGTTCACCGCGAGCTTTTAGTCCAGCATCCGCATCTTGAGCTAAGACATCTATTTTATTAGGTGAAGTGTCTTGGAAAAATCCTTCGCAGGTGAGTAAACTTTTCTTTGCATCTCTTCCCCATAATTCAATAATGTTTCGATGAAGGCTCTATAGGGATAGGTATTTGTCGCAGATGAAATGTTTCTGTTTCTTTCATTTAAACTTACATCTACTTGCGAAAAGAGAGAATGTAAAAATAAATTTACAGGGGCAACCGGTTCTTTGTCTGTTAGATTGGATCCGTCTGCCTTAACTACTTTAACTTTCACGTGTATATAAGAAGCAGCTAGATCAATATAGTCTTCACCACTGCCAGAAATATTAAATTCGATAGGTCCTCCATCTCGTATATTTGCGAGAGGGTGATATTCCACAAACTGTCCTTTTTCTATAGCTGTTTGCGTAGGAGGAATGGTAAATAAATCTAATTCAGATTTGACGCAAACGGGAGAGTCTCGATGTATATACGAAGTCATACTTTTTTTTTTTTTTTTAAGAGAAAATATCCTGTGCTTTCACCTTCTTTGATCGGTGAGAAATGGTACGTACGCTTTTTCCTACGTTTCTGCTTTTTATTGACTCGTCCAGAACCAATCATGTTCTTCACTTTAGTAGCAGCGCTTTATCCGTTAATATATTTCCGGCTTCTTTCAGTCGACGCTTAGCAGCCTCTTTTACATCTTGTCCTTGTGATACATCATTTAACAAATTCAGTCCACTATGCCATACTTGTTTTCCAATTGCTTTGGCTCCTGATTTAATAAGAGGTACGGCAGCGCGAAAGAAGGATCTGAATAGACCCCCCTAATCCGTATCCTCTCTGATAAAGATTACCTTGATAATAATTCAATCCATGTCCTGTTTGTTGTACATAATAATCTTCAAAAGATTTTTGACAACACTGATAAGGTACATACATTATGACAAGTATTTTTGACGGAAATGAAGTTTCACGTATGACCTTCCTCGTTCAAATGGCGTAAATGCTCCCATATGCGTTCTTATATCGATTTCCAAAGTGTCTATCATTTTCCGATTCACAGGTAAATAATGAGGTCTATCAAATAGTGCACTCACCACTTCTCCATCGCTACCAGTTACTCTTACAATTCGAAGTAGAGGAGCTAAAACATCTCCTACGATTTGAGGTTCTACAATATCCGTATATATCATTAATACACGATAATGTGCACAGGGGTCGGCTGCAAAAGGACTTTCTACAACAGTTTCGGAACTATCATCTGTAGATGTAATTTCCATAGGTTCAAAACCTAACATTTGTGCTAACCCATCATGTAAAATCACTTTAGCGTTATTTTTCACTTTGATTTTCACTCGTTTTGTTACTGGGTTATAATTAAAAATTATTTTTGTTTTGATGTTCTTTAATATAAATAGCTTTTAAAATATCAGGTACTGTTTCATAACATCCTGGAGGTAATCTACGACCTAACATTTCACCATCTTTCTCTAAAACAAATCCAATTAAGTTATTGTCTGCATTCACATTGTGCCATGTGTGCGGATATAGCAATTCAACCAAACCAACTTCCCACATACCTTTTAATTCAATGGGAACAGGTAAACGTGTTATAAAATGTGAAATTTTATTTTCGGGGAAATAATTCATAGAGCTATCGCTCGGAAGTGTTACGTAGAAACTCATTTTCACAAATGATTCGGATACAATATTTTTTTCTCACACTTTATATCGAGAGTAAATTAGAAGCTGGAATCCATTGATTGAATTTGTCGGGATAACCGCGATATTTTACAAAGTATTCTGTCTGTTTCTTACGCATACGTTTCTTTAAAATTTTTTCAATGCGATATTCCTCTTTCAGTCTCACTTTCTGCAACTCTTGTGCATAAAACGTTCCTTTTACTGAGTCTCCAAGTAAATCTTTAATTCTATACACGGCTGGATGTCTTTTAACACACTCTGTCACCACAAATAGTTCTTCCGTCCAATTGGTTTCATAACCTTTTTCGAAAGTAAGCTTTAGTTTGGAAACACGTACCACATCTCCTACAGCGAATATACATTTAGAAACGTTAGAAGGATGATCTTCATACAAGGTAAACCATACATCACTCTCATTTTCTGAATTGACTTCTATGGGAGCTCGCTTTATACTTGAATGAAAAGTAGCATTATAACTTTCTATTAATTTGTCCAAGACATCTACATATTTATATGTATTTCGAGTCGTAAAGTATTTCCACATTTTTGTTTTCAAAGTGCGATTAAACCTTTCCACCACGGATGCTTTAGTAGTATTGAATGTATACTGAAAAGTTTAACTTGATTTCTTTTTAAAAATTTTATAAACACTTTATTTTTAAATTCGGTGCCCTGATCCGTTTGAAGGAATTTTGGTTTACGTTGGACTCATTATTTTTTGAAACGCTTTCACAATATCTTCTCCTCTCTTTTGTTTCAGAGAAATAGCCCATGCATATTTGGATAATATGTCAATACAGGTTAATATATATCGATAACCATCATTATGATCACGTAAATGTGAAACATCCACTAAATCAGCTTGCCATTGTTGATCTATAGAATACACGATTACTCTATTCGTTGGAAATTTTCGGCGAATCGGCTTGTGAAGCGTGTACGCATCTATTCCCTCTAACCATGTTTGAATCTCTTTCCTGGAAACTTTACCTCCTGCCTCCTGCAGCACGATGTAAAGCTTCAACACCACCAAAACTTGCAACATGAGCCGGATCCTGATACGATAAATTCATATTCATAACCTATTGAATTATTCTTCATATGGATAATGATAATTCCCACTGTCGTTAAGACGTAGCGTAAAATCAATAGGAATTTTTATGAAATTCTGTAAAAATATAGATGGATGATAAAATAACACATAAAACAGTGTATAAAACACACCGCAACGGTGGCTTCTCCTGGGGCAGGCATAATTGCAATTGATGAGCTGATTCAAATTCCATTTTCTTATATAGGCTTTTTTACCTAAATCTGAATGTATCCCGTCAGCTTAGTGGTTAAAATCTTCAAACTACTGAGCTGGTGAGATATTTTGTTTGAGAGTTCAATTCTATATTTTGAATCATACAACATTTTTTTAATAAAAGAAACTTCTAAATAAATTATTTTCTTTTTTCGTCCCTAGAGGACGCCATGAGCAATTCCTAAATAGATTATTTTCATTTTTCATCCCTAGAGGACGCCATGACTCCGTTGCCAAATTAAAAAAAACTAACTTTTAATGAAAAGCAGGAGGTCTACAACTCAATCAGTAGTCTACGAACAACTCAACTCCACTCGAAACCACGCCTCCTAGTGTGATGACGTTGCCTTTGGCCCCGCCCTCTGTGACGTCATTGACCACGCCCACACCGCACACCGCGTGCAGGTGAACCCGTATTTTTATACTACTTACCTTAATTGCGTTTGTATTACAACACGAAATATCTCGTATAATACTGTGTTAGCTATCCCGGATGATATCATGTATATAGTGTCTGTCTGTCTTTCTAAGCTGAATACTAATAATAAATTATAACTGAAAAAAGAGGCAAATACAAGCCGTTTTCTCCAGAAATGGTTAGACAAATAGGAAAACAATATATGGTAGAACTGAAAGTAACACATTTATTTTCATCAGAAGCACTCAAAATGGAATGTTGAATTGGCTTCGACATTTTAAAAGTAATGCATCAACAAGGAAAGAAAGCTTAATACAGGGATAACATTAAAATTAAGTAGATTTTTGACATTTGCTCTAACTTTACACAAGCTGAAACGAAATACAGTACTGATAGCCATTTTTATAAATATAGTGGGAGAAAGTTAGACTCCATGAATTCACATGTAACGTACTGGACAGTCAAACTGAAGCACTCGGAGAATATCTTATGTGAAATTTTGGCCCACCGTGTGCATTTCTGGTTAGGAATGCTGAATGATTTCGAATTTTATCAACAGCAATAGAAATTTGAATTTGCGGTGATATTTAAGGTGTAGATTTCAAACATTAAACTTATAACACAAAAATAATAGTTATACTATAATTTAAAAAAATAATTATTCTTGCTCGTCTGGGCTTTTAGCTTTTATTAAAAATTATCGCAGGTCGTTTTTATGTATCAAGACCCATAGTGCCTAGCCTCGCGTCAATGTGCACATGAGAAGACACTGTCCGACCAGATTAACTGACAGGGTAAGAGATATTTCTCTGAAAATATTCTTAAGTATTAATAAAGAAATCTATTCAGGAACATAAGCAACGGCTATTCAGTTTGTATTAGAATTCAACTTTCTGCTGAGGTCACACTTCACAACTTTCACTGAGTCACACTCACAACTTTGTCAAAAACTATTTGTCGAGAACTTAACAGCTTTTAATATTCACAGTCGATCACCTATAGCAAAGTCTACGACAACCAACGTCTTTGTTAGATTATACGTTTCACTACTGTCACGACAGCAAAATTTGAAAAATACACAATGAAACGTATGTGATTTTCATCAATGGTCTCATCTTCAGTATATTTGCCATTTCTACAAACATTTTTATGTGGAGAACTCTGTGTGATTAAGGCTGTATCACATTCAAAATAGAGTACAGAGGTGGACCGGTAATGATTTTAAACATACTTAATTTGCAGTTTCTGTAAACACAAAATTGTTTTGAAAGACATTTCGTAAAGACAGTCGTTTTCAAATTTTAAGTCTCAAAAGAAGGACCTATATTAGATTGTTAATGCACCGATTTCGTAAAGACAGTCGTTTTCAAATTTTAAGTCTCAAAAGAAGGACCTATATTAGATTGTTAATGCACCGATTCTTACCTCAAAATCAATGATAGAATAATTTGAAGAATATGAAAATGTACTTGGAAAATTCAAAATCTTGCAAATACCCTGATCTCAACCTCACTGAACCTGCCTGATGTAAGCTAAAGTTAAGATGTGAAAATGTTTTCTTCCTGGAATACTATGAAGTATAAACAGTGGTTGTTTTGTAAGTAGAATAGCTAAAATTACCTCTAACTATCGTTCAAGACTTGTATCGGCCATATATGAGAACAATGCTGCAACATCAGCTACCAGAAACAGACCTACACAATATTTATAAAGTATTATCCAGATGCAGTTGCCTCAGGTTCATTGTCAGGCCGATGTAGAAAGGAGAATTTGATCATTGTAAAACACAGAATTGTCTAGAATTTACTCACAATATGCATGTGGATCGTCTACATAAAATTCACAGTGCAGATAGCTCGTTCGAAGGGAATCGAATTCGAGAAAAACTATCAGTGTAGAAAAATTGAAAGTGTTGTACAATTACCTTGACCATTTGTTTCGTACAATTCAAAAACAAAGAGAAGACAATTGAAATAAAGACTTTAAGAATCCAACGCTTTTGTTGCTGAGATTATATACTTATATTTAGCATAATTTTAATTATTACCTCCAAAAACAGTATTTCAATATTGTTGTAACTTAAATAAAGTAAATTAAATTAATATGCTGCTCAAATAATTTAGAACCGTGAAATATAAAAGTCAAATTGGACTGATGAATAATAATCATTAAAATGCTATAAAAGTTTGCCCGAATATATGATACATTATAAAATTATACAAAAAAAAATAGAAATGTTAAAACATTTTTTTTACAGTAGAAACAAAACGTAAAAATTATAATAAATTATTGTTTATTTGCCAAAGGAGAAATGACATTTCCTCTGACGTATCAAGGAAAAATAAGGGTCCTTTAGCAGATGCATATATATACGTATAACATGTACTTGAACGTTATAAATGCATTTGAACAAATATGCTAGGTATGTAAAACGGCCTAAAAAGGCCTAAACATTAATTTGGAAATACTGAAAACATTTTAGTTCGACATTGCGTTTTTTTAACAATTTAAACTTCCTCTGAAAATTTCTCTTTCTTGAGGTATTTCTCTGGAAAGGCGTTTATACATTTTCTCGGTATTCTTTCTTATTTCACAGATTTATCATTAGAAACTTTAATTCTAAGATGTCCTTCCTATTTTTTAGAATAAAAAATGTAATTGTTTCATTTCTTTCTTACGCTTTAAATTTCTTTCTTGAAAGTAACTAGTTTCGCTTTGTTCGGTTAGAAGACACAAAATGATATTAGACAAACACAATTATCTTTGTTAACCAATTTTCTTTAGAAAAAAAATTACAAAATGATATTACCGAAGGTTGAATGACTAAAGAAAGATCATTTAAGCAAGACTCTAATGAAAATAGAGCAAATGAAAGAAAATAAACATTTGCCACAACAGTCAACACCCCTTTCTAATTTTTCCTGTACTTATGCAATTATGGATGAAGATTTTTAAAA